ATTTTTGAGCAATAAAACCACTTCTAATTGAATAAATGTAAAGTGGAGCTGTTTAATGTCACACTGTGGAACATTCTAGACAGAGCAGTGATGTCTCCATGGAAACAAGAAGGTGACGGACCCAAGATCGAGAAGTTACCCAGTGCAGCTTTAACACAATCTTTTTTTTTTTTAGCACAGTTACAAGTTCAAAGTTGCAAATTGTTCAAAAATGTGTAGTGTTTTTTTTTTCTGCCGTGTTTGTTTTGATACAACACAAATGCTTTTCTCTGATTGGTTAATCCACCTGTCAATCACGCCCACTTGGATTTGGGGTTGGTTTAAGATCTCAGACTCAAACTTGTACAGAAACGACATAAAGTCTGGCAGATCAGGCTAGAGATGTTTGTATTTTTTACGTTATCGTGCATGTAAACCTATTTAAATAATCTGACAAAACATCTAAATTATTAAAGACACACTGTGTAACTTTTCTGGTGGTAACATCTCTCCATGGAGATGTTAATGCTTTGCCTGGAATGATCCGCAGTATAGCTTTAAACTGATCTGGTTTAGACCCACTTAAGGTCAGACCTGGTGTAGTCCTGGTTTAGATCTACATGTGGTTTAGTCCTGGTTGAAGTCTTAATTTAGTCCTGGTTTAGACCTGGTTTATCCGTAGTTTAGTCCTGATTAACAGTCTTGGTTTAATTCTGGTCTATACGTACTTAAATCCTGGGTCAGACCTGGTGTAGTCCTGGTCTAGTACTGGTTTAGTCCTGGATTAGTCCTGGTTTAGTCCTGCTTTAGTTCTGCTTTAGTGCTGGTTTAGTCCTGGTTTAGACCTGGTTTAGTCCTGGTTTAGTCCTGGTTTTGTGCTGGTTTAGTCCTGATTTAGTCCTGGTTTAGTGCTGGTTTAGAACTGGTTTAAATCTCATTTGGTTTAGTCCTGGTTTAAAATTTATTTTAGTCCTGGTTTAGTCCTGGATTAACCCTTAATTTAGTCCTGGTTTAGTTCTGATTTAGTCCTATTTTAGTTTTAATTTAGACCTGGTTTATCCCCAGTTTAGTCCTGATTAACAGTCTTGGTTTAGTCCTTGGTTTAGTGCTGGTTTAGACCTGGTTTAGTACCTGGTTTAATCTCGTTGACTTTATTGAATTACCAACATTTTTATTTCTTCTAGCACAAAACACACAACCTGTCGTCATGGATACATACGCACGTTTAATGCTTCACTGGGGAACATTCTGGGCAAAGCTGTGACATTTCCACACGGACGCGACGTTTACGGACGAAAAGTTACACGACGAAGCTTTAACTTTTAGCTCTTTTGTGTGATTTCTTCTCTGGGAAAAGCAAAAAAACTAACCCAAATTTTGACCTAAATTTCCTTTTAAACCTGTGATTGTAACCTGCATTTTTTTTCCTTTTTTTTTTTTTTTGGTTTTTTTTTGTTGTTTTTATTACTCCTCCTCCTCCTCCTCCCTCACTCCTCTCCTCTTTCCTCGAAAAAACAACGATCTCTCTCTCTTTTTCTCTCCTCCGCTTCGCATTGTGAATGGGTGCATGCCATTTTTCTCCTCCTGAATATAACCAAAACGTGGCTTGCTGGCGTGTTTTTTTTGGTTATTTTTTAATCATTTTCAAATCAAAATCTCCCGAAATCTTCGCCTCCATCGCTGTCACCTCCTCCTGCCCCCTCCTGGTTTCTTTTGTGTTATTTTTTTTACTTTATTTTGACCGTTTTTGGCCCATAAAACGTGAAAAGTCCCACTGATGTACAATGCTCCTCCACCTGCTACTGTCTCGGCAGCATCAGCTCCTCCAGCCAGTGTCCCCTACGCAGCCTCCACCTCAGCCAATCAGGTTTGCTCTTCTTCAGCTGTCTCTCATCGCACACAGCTCTCAACAAGGACGCACGGAACGGACGCGGGGACAGAGCGACAATTCAACAACAACAAAAAAAGAACTGAAATAAAAGGATTAAAGATGCTTAAAAATGGCAAAAACAGAGCTGGATCGTTTCAAAACAGTTGCTCCAAAGTTCTACCTCACTCATTCGTTTATTTGTTTTTCAAAATAAAACCAAAAATAAGAAAATGACAAAACAACAGTTTTCTTTGTTGTTTGTCTCCAAAACCAAAATGAAATAAAAATAATAAAAAAAAAACAGATAACAATTCATTTTTTTTCAGTTTTCAATGCTGTGTTTAAATTAATAATGAACCAAGACTAAACCAGTCTCAGTCCCGATCTGGTCCTGGTGTAGTCCCGGTTTCAGTCCTGGTCTGGTCCCAGTCTGTTCCCCCTCTCAGTCCCGGTCTGGTCCTGGTGTAGTCCCGGTCTCAGTCCTGGTCTCAGTTCTGGTCTCATCCTGGTCTCAGTCCCAGTCTCAGTCTCGGTCTCAGTCCTGGTCTCAGTCCTGGTCTGGTCCTGGTCTGGTCCCAGACTCAGTCCTGGTCTGGTCCTGGTCTCAGTCCTGGTCTCAGTCCCAGTCTCAGTCTCGGTCTCAGTCCTAGTCTCACTCCAGGTCTGATCCTGGTCCCAGACTCAGTCCTGGTCTAGTCTCGGTCTAAATCCTGGTCTCAGTCCAGGTCTGGTTCCGGGTCTGGTTCCAGGTCTGGTTCCGGGTCTGGTCCCGGACCTGGTTTAGTCCTGGTTCAGTCCGGCATCTGAGTTTAAAACTATGTTGTTTTTTTTTCCATTTTTCATTTAAACACAAAATCGAAAACTGAAAAAATGAATCATTATCTGTTTTTTTGGTTTTGGAGACAAATACTGAAGGAAATTGTTGTTTTTTCATTTTCTTATTTTTGGTTTTATATTGAAAAACAAATGAGCGAATGATACACTGATTCTCACTTACTTTATGTATTCAGAGCGTCCTCAACAACAACTAGCATGTTAACACGCACTTCCTGATTATCAAACAATAAAGCGCTCAGGCCTCAAGAGCTGCTTATAAAATATATCTGCACTGTGCAAAAAATAATGGGTTTTAAGGCAAAGCAGGTTTATTTGTACAGCATAAATCATACACAAAGTCATTCAAAAGTGCGTTAAAGAATAAAAAATACATTAAAATCACAATAAAAACAAATCAAAACATAAATAATCATCATAAAATTAAAAAGAGAGTCGGTCAGTTTCAGTCAGTTTTAAGCTCTATTTATCTTGGCTTCAGTTCTCAAATGAAAGAATAAAAAAGACAAAAAAGAATCAGAAGTGTTATAAAGTCAATTTTGCGTATTTATTTTATTAAGCAAAATCAATAAAAAATGTAGAAACTATAAAAAAAAAAAAGTAGCTCTGTTGTTTAAGTGTTTCTCCACCAACGTAAAGGCTCAGAGGGAAAAAAAACAATATCTAGTTAAATTAAAATGACTTAAGTTAAGAAAATTTAACTGTATTTGAGTCGATTAGACAGGACAATTCAAGCAACATTTGATTTTGTTACTTATTTTAAGCACAAAAAATTGTTGTCTTTCGTATTTTAAGTGCAGCACGATGTATTTTCATATTTTACGTACAAAAAGTCTTATTCTACTGGCAGATAATTTTACTCGTCAAGTGAAATTTACTCAAATCATGATTAAGTGTGGAGTGGATCTGGAAAAGCGCTGGTTAATGCAAATGTATTTTTTAAATTATTATTAGAAATTAACCCAGTAATTTCAGTTTAGGAGCGACAAAAAAAAAAATCTAATTCTTAAGGAAAAATAAAAACATGTATTATATTATATTAACATTGACAAAGTGCTGTACAGGCAAAAATGAACAAGACAAAAAGCATAAAAATAGCACATAGAAGGTAAACAAAAACAATGATGCAAACAATTAATTATCATAAATTCCCCGGGAAAAACTGATGTTTGGTCACCCGACGTTTACCTACATCCTGGTTTAGTTCCTGGTTTAGTCCTGGTTTAGTCCTGGTTTAGTTCTGGTTTAGTCCCTGGTTTAGTCCTGGTTTAGTTCTGGTTTAGTCCCTGGTTTAGTCCTGGTTTAGTCCTGGTTTAGTTCTGGTTTAGTCCCTGGTTCAGTCCTGGTTTAGTCCTGGTTTAGTCCTGGTTTAGTCCCTGGTTCAGTCCTGGTTTAGTCCCTGGTTCAGTCCTGGTTTAGTCCCTGGTTCAGTCCTGGTTTAGTCCTGGTTTAGTTCTGGTTTAGTCCCTGGTTTAGTCCCTGGTTCAGTCCTGGTTTAGTCCTGGTTTAGTCCCTGGTTTAATCCTTGGTTTAGTCCTTGGTTTTGTCCTGGTTTAGTCCCTGGTTCAGTCCTGGTTTAGTCCCTGGTTCAGTCCTGGTTTAGTCCTGGTTTAGTCCCTGGTTTAGTCCTTGGTTCAGTCCTGGTTTAGTCCCTGGTTTAGTCCCTGGTTTAGTCCCTGGTTTAGTCCTTGGTTCAGTCTTGGTTTAGTCCTGGTTTAGTCCCTGGTTTAGTCCCTGGTTTAGTCCTGGTTTAGTCTTGATTCAGTCCTGGTTCAGTCCTGGTTTAGTCCTGGTTCAGTCCTGGTTTAGTCCTGGTTTAGTCCTGGTTTATTCTTGATTCAGTCCTGGTTCAGTCCTGGTTTGGTCCTGGTTTAGTCCTGGTTTAGTCCCTGGTTCAGTCCTGGTTTAGTCTTGATTCAGACTTGGTTTAGTCCTGGTGTAGTCTTGAATTAGTCCCTGGTTTAGTCCTGATTCAGTCCTGGTTCAGTCCTGGTTTAGTCCTGGTTTATCATTGCACCATTTCCGACCATTGTGAAAAACATCCATACAAAATATTATAAAGATGAATATAATAATAATAATAATAATAATAATAATAATAAAGATACATTATTATTAATAATAATAAAATGAAAAAGTTTGAATAGTTATTACAATTAACCAAACAAATATCTGACATCCTGGAGCATTTTATTGCAACAAAAATAAACCCAAATCCCGTGTTTCCCCGCGTGTTCCTCCGGTCCTTATTGAGAGCTCTTCATTTGCAGTTGTTGTAGTTTGTTTATGTGTTGCCTCACTTCCTGTTTTTGTTTTTTTGTTTTGTTTTTTTGCATGTTCTTTTAATGTTTTACTTTTGTGTTTTGTTTATTATTTACCTCTCTCTCCTTGTCGTTGTTGTCGTTGTTGTCGTTGTTGTCGTCTGAAGCCTCTCCATTCACAGCCCGGGTCCTCCGTGTGTTAGCGCTTGTGGCTACGCTAAAAACAACGCACAGCCCGCCGCAGCTTTAGCCGTGTCGCTAACGCTAACGCCGCTAACGCTAACGGGAAACGGGACGAGAAGAATCAGCACGACGACTTTCACACCCACTTTTATTTTATTTTATTTAACAGTTTGACCTTTACTCTAACTACTGTTTACATTTCAGAACATTTGGACAACTCATGAGAAGTAGTAGTAGTAGTAGTAGTAGTAGTAGTAGTAGTAGTAGTAGTAGTAGTAGCAGTAGTAGTAGTAGTAGTAGTAGTAGTAGTAGTTTTAGTTTGGTTCAGGTTAAGTTCTATCTTAAACAATTTAGTCCTGGTTTAGTCCTGGTTTCATTCCAGTTTAGTCCTCATGTAGTTCTTGATTTAGTCCTGGTTTAGTTCTGGTTTAGTCCTGGTTTAGTCCTGGTTTAGTTTTGATTTAGTTCTGGGTTTTATTCTAGTTTAGTCCTCGTCTAGTCCTTGGTTTATTTAGTCTTAATTCAGTCCTGCTTTAGTCTTCATTTAGTCCTTGTTTAGTCCCTGGTTTGGTCTCGATTTAGTCCTGGTTTAGTCTTAATTTAGTCCTGGTTCAGTCCTGGTTTAGTCCTGGTTTAATCCTGGTTCAGTCCTGTTTTAGTCTTGGTTTAGTCCTGTTTTAGTCCCTGGTTTAGTCCTGGTTTAGTCGTGTTTTAGTCCTGGTTTAGTCCTGTTTTAGTCCTGGTTTAGTCCTGGTTTAGTCCTGTTTTAGTCCTGGTTTAGTCCCTGGTTTAGTCCCTGGTTTTAGTCCTGTTTTAGTCCTGGTTTAGTCCTGTTTTAGTCCTGGTTTAGTCCCTGGTTTAGTCCTGTTTTAGTCCTGGTTTAGTCCCTGGTTTAGTCCTGGTTTAGTCCTGTTTTTAGTCCTGTTTTTGTCCTGTTTTAGTCCTGGTTTAGTCCCTGGTTTAGTCCTGGTTTTAGTCCTGTTTTAGTCCTGGTTTAGTCCTGTTTTAGTCCTGGTTTAGTCCCTGTTTTAGTCCTGGTTTAGTCCCTGGTTTAGTCCTGGTTTTAGTCCTGTTTTTGTCCTGTTTTAGTCCTGGTTTAGTCCTGTTTTAGTCCTGGTTTAGGCCTGTTTTAGTCCTGGTTTAGTCCTGGTTTAGTCTTAATTTAGTCCTGGTTCAGTCCTGGTTTAATCCTGGTTCAGTCCTGTTTTAGTCCTGGTTTAGGCCTGTTTTAGTCCTGGTTTAGTCCTGTTTTAGTCCTGGTTTAGGCCTGTTTTAGTCTTGGTTTAGTCCCTGGTTTAGTCCTGGTTTAGTCCTGGTTTTAGTCCTGTTTTAGTCCTGGTTTAGTCCTGTTTTAATCCTGGTTTAGTCCCTGGTTTAGTCCTGGTTTAGTCCTGTTTTAGTCCTGGTTTAGTCCTGGTTTAGTCCTGGTTTTAGTCCTGTTTTAGTCCTGGTTTAGTCCTGTTTTAATCCTGGTTTAGTCCCTTGTTTAGTCCTGGTTTAGTCCTGTTTTAGTCCTGGTTTAGTCCTGGTTTAGTCCTGGTTTAGTCCTGGTTTTAGTCCTGGTTTTAGTCCTGGTTTAGACCTGGTTTAGTCCTGGTTTAGTCCTTGTTTAGTCCTGGTTTAGTCCTTGTTTAGTCCTGGTTCAGTCCTGGTTTAGACCTGGTTTAGTCCTTGTTTAGTCCTGGTTCAGTCCTGGTTTAGTCCTTGTTTAGTCCTGGT